ATTAAACTCGTATGTCGAGGTACCACTGTACTAAGATTATTCAGCTATTCCAATTATTTGTTAGAGAATTTGGAGTTTTACTTGCTCTTTTGCACAAGAGGGCACTCTAGTCCAGCCTGGGTTCAAGCATCTGATTTATGTACTGGTAGCTTCTCACTTTGAGAAAAATGCAAGGGAAGGAATGGAAATAATACATACTTGACTTTTTTTTTAATTGGCTATGATCCAAGTGCCAGCCTTCAGTGTACATATGGAACTGATTTTTACATTTTTTTAAAAAAGGGGTGGGAGATCCAAACACCCTGGCAAGGGATAACTTCAAATGTACATTTGCTTGGCATGGGTGGAAAAAAACATGACCCAACACATGCTGTAATCTGTAGTTTTATTTTATTCCTCCTCCCCAATTCAGTGGTGAATGTATAACATTTTTTTAATAGGAAATCTGGGTGAGGGACTGCTTTAAAAAAAAAAAAAAGAATAAATTTCCATCATCATCATTATTATTTTTTATTCAGAACAAATAATTGAACTTTTAGCAATCATGACAAATTAGGTAAGGATAAACCAAACCACATTTTGCTATTAGCAAGAGTAAACACTCCCTCTACCTGAAATGTGGCCTGTGTAAAACTATTGATTTTTGGGAGATTTTTTTCTGAAAAATGCATTTTTTGGTGGGGAGGGGGGGAAAATAACATAAAAGGGCTAGGGGCTGGATTGACATCTGTGACTGGTTATTTTTAGTGTAAAACTCATAAATTCCAACAAGATTCCAAAAGTAACAAGCCAGTCCTGCGAAAGTGGAGTCTTGTCAACAAAGCAGCATTGCTTTTCATCATGTTTCTAGTTGATGGTTCAAATAGTATCCCCCCCCCCAGTACTTTCCCTTTGGATTAGATCAGGGTTGAACAAAATGCATCCCCCTCCAGATGTTGTTTGACTGCAGCTCCCAGCAGCCATATCCAACATAGCCAGTGGTGAAGCATGCTGGGAGTGGGAGTCCACCAACATCTGGAGAGTTGGAGTTTGCCCAACCCTGGACTAGATAATCTAATTTAGAAAATAGTGAACTTCAGGCTGTATTGTTTCAAAACTGTTTCCAGAAGAGGAGTCGTGTTTGTCTATTTCAGGAAAAGCAACAGAGTTTTGTGACATCTGAAATGCAAACATGTTTCTTTCATAAGCTAAACTCTTTTGGCGCCTAGACACAACTAGTTAAACTTAATTTGCTATACAGCTAAATTTAACAGATTATGTGCCTATTAGCCGCTCTTTTCCCTCAAGGTGGTTTAATGAGTTAATTAGTTGTCCAACCATGCTCACTATTTATTTAAAGTATTTCTATATCATCTCCCAGCCCACAAGGGCCAACAAGAACCAGTTAATTTTGATTCAAAGCATGCTAAGTGTTTCTTCCCGAACCAGGCAATACAAATACATTGGGTGGTTAATATCACCCACTATTCCCATAATGCAATAAATAAAAGGTGGCAATAATCATCATCATCATCTTATTATTATTCTTGTTGTGTGCCTTCAAGATGTTTCCAAATTATGGTGACCCTAAGACAACTCTATCATAGGGTTTTCTTGGCAAGTTTCTTCAGAGGGGGTTTGTCATTGCCATCCTCTGCTGCTGAGAGAGTGTGACTTGTCCAAGGTCACCCAGTGGATTTACGTGACTGAGCTGGGATTTGAACCCTGATCTCCCAGTGCCCTAGTCCAACACTCAAACCACTACACCACACTGCCTCTCTATTATTATTTCTACTCCACTTTTTCCCCAGATTGGGACTTAAAGCAGCTTAGAATGATTTTTAAAAATTGTTAGAAATCTACAAGATAACAAAAGTTAAAACCCAATTAAGCAATCAGGGGAAAAATTAGAACTTGGTTTTAGTTTTAATTAAAACTCTCTCTCACACACATACCCAGCACAACAATTAGCAATATCTAGTGCATTGTGTAAAACTGGCCTTATATAATCACTCATCAAATGCCTGTCAGAATAGAAAAGACTTTGCTTTCCTGCAAAAAGAAAATAGCAAAGGTTCTGGTCTAACTTCTGCCTTGCTATTTATTGCAGAGGTGATTTCAGAAGCAAGAGGCGACTGGCTGGAGAGCGGAGAGGTTGTTATAAACTGAAGCTACATACTGAACTTGGAAATCCCGACCCTTGCTTACAAAGCAAGTTCTCCATCATTTATCCTTATATCCCATATTACTTAATTCTACAGCTGCAGCTGCACTGTAGAAATAATGCAGTTTGACACCACTTTAACTGCCATGGCTCAATGTTATGGCATCTGGGATTTGTAGTTTGCCGTGGCACCAGAGCTCTCTGATAGAGAAGGTTAAATATCTCACAAAAACTACATATCTCAGAATTCCATAGCACTGAGCCATGGCAATTAAAGTGATGTCAAACTGCATTATTTCCTCAGTGCAGATGCAGCCTACATGAGTGAGTATGCAGAGGATGGAGTTATTCAATTGTGCAAAATCCTGTCCTCCAAGGCACTTAGAATATCAAGAACTTTCCACCACTGATTCACCAACTAATATTGCAGCCACTTATTAATGCATTTCAGTATTGCACTGGATCAGCATCCTCTCACTTGAATGAATGCATCATTCCTCATTCACCTTTTCTTACCTGGACAAATAATCTATGGCAGGGGTAGGCAACCTTTCCCCTTTAAGGACCGAGGGACTTCACCTCCCAGAATCCCAGGAGCTGTTGGCCAACATGGGACTATTGGCCAACATGGCTGAGGCTTCTGAGAGCTGAAGTCCCTCGGCCCTTAAAGGGGAAAGGTTGCCTACCCCTGATCTATGGTATTGAAGGGGGAGAGAACAACATATATTTTGCAGGTGATAGATAAGGTGGGAGGAAAAATAGAGATGCAGATCAGGAACAGAATTTAATTTAACAGATTAGTTAGATTCCATCCTTCCCAATCAGACAGTTTCCAAATGTGCTGCATTACTATAATTCCCACAATCCCCTACCATAAATCAAATTACAGTATTTATAGTCCATGCATTTTAGAAGAGCTAGGTTGAGGAAGGCAATTTAAACTTTGCATTAGGAGTTTCTAGTTGTTGTTTTTGTTGTGCTTTTTTAATAATAATATTTTTTATTTATTTTGTGGTTTATGGTTTGAACTTGTTGAAATGGTTTTAACTGGTTTGACAGTTTAATCACTTTTTAACTTTTGTGGATTTTTAACTGTTTTTTAAAAATCTGTCATAAGCCTCCTGGAATCCCAAAATGGCAAAAGGTAGGGTAACAACAACAACAACAACAACATAAATAGCATTTTGGAAGATACCAATAACAAAGTATGCTACTAGGGAGCAATGGTGACAGCCAAACATGCCATTCTGTGTAAATCCCCCTTTAAAAAACTTTGCAATTTCTTTAACAAATTAATTAATAATAGAACAAATTAAAGTCCATGTCTCCCAACATTAAAAATGAATGAATTTTCCTATTTCTAACCAATGGAAAGATTAATTTTTAAATCTAGCTTTTCAAACTTAGAACTCATAAGGGCTAGATTTACGTTATTAGTTATATGAAGTCTCATCCTAAATTGCAAAAATCCTGTTCCATAAGACTGCTAGTTTAAAAACAAATTCTGTGTTTTATGTGTGCATAGGTTCAGTCTCTACTCTTGATTAATAAAGGTTCTCAATTCAAAAGTTAGATAATAGAAAAGAAAATCTTCTCCATGAATAATAAAAGTTGGGCAGCAAAGAGAAGATCTCATTTGTGGTAAATTTCCACTCCAAACCTCCCAGCTATTTTGGCAACCAGGACAAACTATAAATTGTTAGTCAACTCGGAACATCTTGCTAAAGTTATCAGGAAATCTCCTGCACAGCTTTGTACCAGCAGTTACATCTATATAAATTACTAGTGACAGCTGTCCTTAAATCACTGGTCAGCAATCTTGGATCACACCCTTGTGAATCCAAGTGCTGCATCACCTGTTTTTATCTCAGGAAGACCTTTAAGCGTACTAAGATTGGCAGGATTTACTGGCCTAAATCCAATTGCTAGTTCCAGAAGTAAATTCCATTGATTTGATGGGTCTACTCTGGCTGGAATTAGCAATGGATTTAGGATACAATATCTAACAAAACATCACTGGCAGGTCATGTAATGTCATTTATGTCACCAAGTACAAATGCCCAGAATGTTACATACTGTGTAAGAGTAAGCGGGCAATTGACCTGCACA